AATTTTGGTGGCTGATAACCCCTCGGCATCTTCAAAGTGTCAATCTTCTTGGAGTAGGGCTTTGAGTATAGTGCGGAGTCATGTAAGCTTCCTTTGTACTATGCCTTGATGGTGCTGGCGATCATCTCCTGCAACTGCTGGATAGAGAGAGATCCCATGAATGTCGCTGCTTGGTCTGGCTCTGGTTTCACATCGACTTTCTCCACCGTAGGCTCCTCTTATTCACCAGCTCCTCTCTTTAATGTATCATCTTCTGGGTCGGGGTTTTGCCGTCCTGTGGCTCCAGTCAGCTGATAAGTGCAACGATTTGCAAGTCTTTTTCTTCCACAGTCCGTGTTAGCCTTGCGATCGCTTCATTCATTTGAGCTAGTTGTTATTTGATGGAGGTAACGTCGATGGTCATGACTTGTGCAACCAATAGACGTAACTTTCCTTTAAACATCCAGGATGCTGACAAAGAACGTCGTTGGCTGCTTTGGGATGTCATCTTGTGTGTCTCAGCAGCATGCTTCGGTGCCCCCAGCGAGGTCAAGTTGATGACGGACTCGCGCCTTTGATGCTCCCATTGCTCCTTTAGCAGCACCAACTTTGAAGTGGCATGTTGAGGAGTGGTTGTGGCGCCAATGGATTGTCCATTCACAGCAGAAGTACTCAGGATCCTTCCCTTGGTGGTTGCGAGAATGGCTTGTCCCTTGCTTGATGTCATTGACTTTGACGTGTGTTTGGATTCCTTGAACGGGGAAAGAGATGAGAGGTAGAGATGGTCCCACTGGGCGTGCCGAATTTGTGAACACGGAAATTCCTGAAACAAAAGAAACAAGAACACGTGTACAAAATAATATTTTGTATTAATGATTTTGGGGTTACAATTTCTTTATGGTTTGATCCTCTGATTCGATCTCCGTAATGTGTAAATTTGTGGATTGTGATGCTGATCCAAGGGTCGTCGAGGCTTGATCTTGGATGAACGGTTGGAAGTTTCTTCAAGGGCCTTTTGGGTTTGATCTTGAAGGTTGATGGATGAACAGATCTTCAAGGGCTTTTGGGCTTGATCATGAAGAACTGTTGATGAACGGATCTTCAAGGGCCTTTGGGGCTTGATCTTGATGAACAGTTGATGAATGAATCTTCAAGGCTTGATCTTGAAGAACGGTTGGATGTGTGGATTTGTTGATGTTGTTGATCCAAAGGGTCGTTGGGGCTTGATCTTAGGATGAACGGATGATGAACGATGAACACTTTCTTCAAGAGCCATTGGGGCTTGATCTTGAATTGGTGGAAGTTCTTCAAGGGCCGTCGGGGCTTGGTCTTGAAGGAAGATTTAATGAAGAATGAAGAAGACTTTCTTGATCCTTCGGGATTTCTTGGGAATTTAGGAGGTTGGATGCTTGAAAGCTTTAGAACTTCACACTTGAAGGATTTAGGGAATTCTCTTCCAATTTGGGAATAGAGAAATGTATATGTGAATTCCTCTTCAATTTCCCTCAAATGAATGAAATGACTTCTATTTATAGAATTTTCCAAGGCCTAATTCTGAATATAATATTCAGATGAAATAAATTGTTTTTGCCAGGTGTTGACACGTGTCCTGTTTGATGACTTTTCTGATTTATTTTGATTTTTCGTTTAGTCACACGCTACGTGTAAATGATATTTGCGTGAAAATTGTAGTATTGGTCAACATTTATTTCACCGAAATTTCGATGTCTACAACACCCTTATTTATTGGTTCTACAACTACATCCCATAAATCATGCAATGCGTTCTACTTGTCTCCAACCACAGCGGCTTGCCACAAGAATAGGAATTATTCAACATAAATCTAGGCCTTTACACTTGACAGTTCAATCTCATGATTTGGAGTTGTGCATTTGTGATCATGAACCATATCATATTTCTATCGTTGGAGTAATTTGTCCATTTGCAGCCACCCATGTTAATTCTTCACTTCAGCGACTTCTTGGTCTTGTTCTTATTATTGATCCCATGGTTATACTAACTGCTTTTGACAAGCATTTTAATGGTGAGAAGCCCGTAGTTGGGTGCAATGCTACATATCCTGTTGATGTTATATGATGAGTAGATTTTATATTATATATTTTACCCTAATCTTAGTATATTTTGGTTAATATATTGGAAGAATTTTGATACTTTGAATTGTATTTTCAATATAGGACTTTCGACTTCCTCTGGAGCAAAACAGGACCAAATGGACGAATTTTGGAGTAATTTCAGTTGGAGGACGTTCGTGAGTCACTTAGCTTGATCGTATCAAAATTTGGGATTTTTCCACCAAGCGGTTATTTTCTGGCGATGAAATAAAGAAGCAGTGCGCAGTGTTGGAAAATGACGTTTTTGGGCTTAAATTGCGTTTTTGGAGCCCAAGATGACCTCGGATGGGTTCGTGGCCTTCTGGAAAAGTGTTCAGAATATTCCAAACATTAAATCCAGCTATATTGGGCCAGTTTTGGAGCAGCTTATGGGCCAAAACGTGGCTGTTCAGATTTTAGACGAATTTTACTATTTTTATTTAGGGTTTTTATTAATTTTTAGTTTTGCTAGGGTTTGTGTGGGGGCTTAGCAAATATATTGCTTGGCCGTCTACAATTTGAGGGTACGCTTTATTTTATGCAATATTGGAGACAGAGAGAAGTGCTAGGGTTTTGAAGATTTTCTACTTGAAGGTGTTTTCAATCCTTTTCTTAAGAATATTTTCTATGATTTCAATTATGAATATGCGGAACTAATTTCTTGTGCTAGGGCGAAGCCTTGAGCCTTAGCATGAATATGTGATTTTTATTTAATTGCTTATGATTGATTGCATGCGTACTTTGAATTGTTAATCACCGGGATAAAAACTATCTAATTGTTTTAATGCCTGATCACCATTAGGATTTTTAGAAAAGTAATTTGATGCAATTTTGGTCGGAAGGTTCCCTGAAATTGACGCTGGCTTCTTGTGATTAATAATTGTAATTTCTCTTAGGATGAATATCACGTCTTAAGGATTGCATGGTTTTTCAAAGGATTTTCATAAAGCATAAGGAGTCTTTCATGTTTAGATTTGATCCGAACGTCCGGACGGGTTGCATGTTAGATATACGTTCTATGTTGGAGGTTCCAAGTAGAATATGAATTAGGAAAATCTAACCTTCAAAGTGGCATGTGTAGATCATAAGTAATTCGTAAAAATTCATAGGATTGCTGGGTGATGGTGGAACCCTAGTGCTTTATTAATTTGATTTCTCTCAAAACTGTTTTCTTCTCTCTAATCCTAATATTGCAGATTGTTTATTTTAATTCATTAAATTCGTTTTTATTTTAATTAGGTTATAAAATCAATCACTGAAATTTCGACTTTACAATAATTAATTGAAATCTGGATTGTTTCGGTTTATTTAATAATCCCTGTGGAGAATGACCTTGCGAGATCCGTTTATACTACAATATCCTTGTAATTCTTGCAAGTAAAATAGGAGGTTTTTATCGCATTCACATGAGTTGTAAAAATCCTATCATTATAGCCTCTCTGTTTGTGTCTCATAATACTTTTTCTCAATCAGTTGAGAGAGACTACAAAACCCTTGATAGTTTCAATGCAAATGGGTTATTACCTTTACACGATTTAATTGAGATGGCTTCTACTGCCTTTGGCCTCAATGCAAGTGAGATGATTTCTTCTGTACACTTGGAGGGCTTACTTGGTCATGCTCTGGGGAGCATTGGTTTGCAAGTGTGGGGCAACGATGGATCGCATGGTCTTGCAGGGACAATTCTGATTTTGGGCACTGCAAGTATGATAGAAGAACATGCAATGCTTATCATGGAGCCAATCCAGCAAGCTCAAACCAGCAAAAATTTTAGTGATCCTCAGTTTCAGAAAAGGGGCTGCCTTTCTGCCAAGTGTTACTGCAAGACCAACCAACCCAACTTGATGTGGTATGCTATGGTTCTCATCTCTAAGTCCTATGATAACAACACTCAGCGTTATGGTTCAAATTTGCAAAAGTAGACCAAGGCAATATCACAAGCACTGATACATGGAATTATGGCCTCCCTCACTATACCACTGTATGGATTAATTGGGGGATCATATCGGCATACAGTGGATCTGCAATACCTCATTGGTTGCATCACTCTTCTCGAGACTTGGTGGCAAGGGCAGTCCTTGAATTCTAAACTAATTCCACATACTTCTGAATTTCCAACAGCACAATATTTGGGAAGAGTTGAGGTATTCAATGGCTTGGTGAAAAGTTATTTTCCATACTATTTTTGGACCTCCAACCTACTTACTGAGCATGCTGCGAAGGCTTTCGAAACTGATGAAGAAACTTGTATCTTACTTGACCATTCACCAGACATGCTGCTTGCTATGAAATGGGTGATATTGGTACAACATGCACCATCTCTTGCCATCTTTAATGCAACAAGGCATTTTCTTACATGGCATCATGGTGTAAGCTTTTATGTCTTCCACCAGTGGCTGCCATCTCCTTCCTGACTCAAGGTCTTCTGATCCTTTGGACTGGAATTGTGGTCTATTCGGAGATTCACACTGCACTGATTTTGGCTGCATCTATCATGATAATTTCTGGAACCCCAAGGCTTGAGAGACAAAGCAGCGCAAGCCTCTACATGCCCACTTGACGGCATGAGGACATGCCTTATTTTAAGGGGGAGGAAATGTCAGGATCCTAGTTATTGGGTTTATATATTTATGGTATTTTGTCTTATCTTTGTAGTAGTTGGCTTCATCCAACGGTTCTGAGGATAGTGATGTTTTCTCATTTGGGCACTCCTCTGCTAGGGTTGTATATAAATCTCCTTTCACCATTTGGGAAAGGCATGAATGAAAAGAACTGTTATTTTATTTCTTACTTTCCTTGCATTTTCCTTTTTTTCTCCATTCCTACGGAATGGGTCCTACCATTACCAGCACAAAGAAAATTCATTAAAGGAAAAGTCCTGAAGACAAGACAACCATTACCAGCACAATCGAAACGTAAAGCTTGGGTCGCACAAGCGAGAAGGGTGCGACCCCAAATACGTGTATTGAACTATTTATCCTTGCACTTGCGATAGCATTGCCAAGAAAATTAGTCTCTCTAAAAATAAGAACATGTCTCCAAGATATATTTTGAAAAGTGACCGCCAGACTTGTAAGTTTTTAAAGCCACGGTTATACACAACATCAACAGAGCATCACGCAACTCCTAGAGTCCGCCTTGATACTGCATTATTCCTTAAATTTATGATTCCTGCAAGAATAGGACAGCCCCGATCATCCTGAACCACAAAACTAGCAGCAGCATCTATCCCTACATGAGCAATAAAATCATGTAAAAAATGATGACGGATTTCAGTTTTTATCAACCTTCCTTCAATGAGCCATTTCTAGACCTTTTAAACTCCCATGGTGGTAGGCAGCCTTTATAGTGAGAATGTAGAAACAACGACGACATTGATACTTCCCTCTGTGGCATCGACATTGATGACAAGCAAGTGAAGGCACTTCTTAGTCTCTTTTTTTCACTTTCGCATCCTTCAAAATTGGGGTCATGTGGAACAGTGGTCGTCTTTAGGGTGTCTGGGAGTATACAGTTGCACAGAGAACCTAAAAGGAATCAGAAAATATGATTTAAGAACAAACTGACCATAATCCTTAAGAAAATGAAGAAAAAACGCATCACGAAATGTGTTCTTCGACAATAAATCATATAGATATTTTCTTCACTATAGTAAGGCGAGCCTCGTGGCATAGATGAGCAATTATGAAAGGTAGCGCTCAAAGAGCTGCATGTGTGGAAGATAAATCTACACAAAATTAATATAAGTGTTTGGTCCACATCATGATATCTAGGGAAGAATACAATTATTGCAAGTCTAGCTTCACAGAAACAGGGGTTGAGAAAAGACGTGCCATATACCTATTCTTGCAAGTCGATTGACCCATTTTGGTATTCGCTTTCCAGTCAGCTTATAACCTATATCTTCACAGAAATGGTTGCAGTTCTTGACAATCAAGTGATATGAGTCACCATTGTAGATTGCAGATTGACGCTCCATGAACTCTCTAACCTGGAAAGGATCCAAGCATGTCATGCCAATGAAAATTGACCTTCTAAACTTGAAGCCAGGGCATTGTCGAGGTTCAACCTCGAAAACACCGCTTGATGAGTACTCATGGGCTCCAAAGGCATATTCTACCCCATGAACTGTAAGCATGAAAACATGATCAATTAACATTTGTGTCATCTTGAGAAACCTAAAACTCAGGATGCAGAATAAAATTATTTCAAAGGAGATATATTGTTTGGAAATTTTATATTCAAGTATTGTAATTTCCTTTAAATATTTCCAAAGCAGGGAGCATCGCTATTCATCCTAGCGAAAGGAAAAGGAGGTAAGGTAAATATTTCCGAAGAGGACTGAGGCTGCGGGACCAAACTAATTTAGAGAGTTTCGCTCTTACACAAAATGTTGGTCATTGAAGTGGCCATAATGGTGAACAAATGCATATTGCACAATAAAGTTTAGGAAAGTTTTATCCCGCTGAATTGGCTTGGGTTGAGTTTGTCATTAAGGTTTAACCGGCTTAAATATGAGTAATATCAAGGTAAAAGTTAGAAAACAGTTTAAATTGATTAATTCACAATTGCTTTTTCAATCAAGAATCATACATAACCACATCATTTTCAGGGGACTATGGGGCTACTCTCTTCTAAAGAAACCACTAACATAGATTAAGGTAGCTAACCTTCTACGCCAGAGTGAAAGATGCCAAGGCCTGCCCAATAGATATAGCCATTTGCCGGTGTCAAGTCATATACATTCAGATAGACAGGTGCGCTCCCTTTAACGTAGTCTGCTGCCTTCACCTTTGGAAACATGCAAAAATGTGAGGCTGCTTTGCCTCTCAAACAAAGAGGCATAATAGAGTGCCTGCCATCCTTTGGTCCTGATTTCATGCTGAAGGGTGAAACCAGGAATCAATAAAAGCCTTGTCCAGACCTGCTAATATGAACAGAAAACAATTTACGACAAGATACAGATTTTGGCCATGAAATATTAAGGTCAAATAACATATCTATTTTATCATTTCTCTTTGTATCCATAATACCCAAAAAGATCATACTGGGCGGGCCCTCATATTTATCTAGTTATGTTATAATCTACAAATTCCGTATACTTTAAGATAGCTTGTTGCACAAAAACTGTGGTGATACTGGTTTCATTTAGCGTCAACTTTCAATAATGCATAAGTGCAAATGCATATATCTCGCCGTAGTTCAATCTTACCAATTATAATATTGCTTAACCAAGTAGTAATATTCAGGACACCATTCCAAACAAACCTAATACGTCTCAGATTGCAGTATTGTCAATAGAATATTTGCCCATCCAGAAAACATATCTTCTGTAGAACCTTACAACTGGCAACGGTGAAGCTTCTTACGATTATTACTGGGAAATTTTCAACAGGATTATTACTGTAAAGCATATAAGTTCGTTCATCTTTTGATTATTTGTCTAAGAGCTATATCTAAAGTGAATAATGCGGTCCCTCACAACCCTAGTTCGATCATCACCCATCTAAAGGACCACATCCACGGGTCATCATATCCGGTTTGGCCTTAACTTGAATCATGCTAGCGCTCATAAGACACCAGTGGCCCTTAACCACAGCAGTGAAAATATGTTGGGCTCTTGCATGACAGCGTAAGTTCAAACTCCTTGGTCGATGGCTAATCTAACATCTAATCTAACAAAGACCAAAAAAAAAAAAAAAAAAAAAACAGAGACAAATGAAATGTGGAAACTTGAATGATATTGGTTTAATATCAATGAACGTTTAAAATTCACAAAATGGTGGCAAAAATAAACCATTGTACAGTTCTCCTTTTTTTCTCAAAAGAAAAAAAAATTGAAACCTTTTAGTAAGACGACTGTATAAATCTACTGAAGTTCTAACCAGAGAAATCTTTGAAAAAGGCAGATCAGATTCATGAGGAAATAAAAACTTTATGTTCAAATGCGAAAAGCAAATCAAGAAACGCAAAAACTTGAGAAATAATCGAAACCCAATGGAGCAAACGAAAATCCAGAGAAACCCACTAACCTGTTGGAAGAGTGACACTCATAACCGAGTGGAGGAGCCAATGCACCCGCCCCCGAGACGCAAAGCAGCCATTTTTTTTTTTTCAAAGTTCAAAGCAGAGAAGAGAAGAGAGGAGCGTTGAGGTGGTGTGTGGCTGAGACCCACACATTATTTTTCTTCTCTCTCCTGGTCCTGACAGAAATCAGAAAATGAAAGCTGGCGTAGTACACAAACTACTGTACTTTGTGGAAGCCCAATAAGGTAAAGAGAAAGAATAACTGTTTTAATTAAATTTGTAAATTAAGTGATGTGTTATCAATAAAAAATATGAACGTTAATCAACATTTAAATAATAATTTAATAATTAACATACGTATCATTTGATTTATAAAATTTAGTTTAGAAATTTGGTTTCCTAGCATTATCAAAACTGATAAATCAAATGATGTGGATGTTAATAATTAATTAGTATTTAAGCATTTATCAATATACTTATTTCTTATTAATGACACATTATTTAATTTAATATGTAACTACTAACTTTTCGGACTATTCAGCAGTAGGCGATCTCCAAAGAAAAATTTGATAAAAAAAGAAGAAGAAAATGTTAAATGGTGGGGCTAAGAGCAACTCCACCCAGGGTGGTTGCTCGGGGGACAAGCTCCAAGAAAGGGCCCGAGGGCCGGTGGGTTGGCCTCTAGCCTTGGAGAGCCTGAGTGAGGGTGGGAGCCTGAGGGCCAGGCCCGTGGGGGATTGACAGGCCTGCTGCCCGAGGCCTGTGATGTCAGGCTGACGCAAGGCCTGACGTCCGACCTTTTTTTTTTTTTTTGTGTCAGGCGCGTGCCCCTCACTCGCGAGTGGGGGTGCGTTGCCCAACCAAAATTCAGGGCACGGGCCCGTGCGCCTCAAAAAACCCAGTGATCGTTGGGAAGCCACGTGGCTTCCCACGGTCCGTTCGATCCCAACGGCTCTTTAATATGAGCCGTCTGATTTGCAACGGTAATAAAAAAAAGTTGATTTTATATCAACCGTTCGATCTGAGATCAACGGTTAATATTAATCTGCTTTATAAATTAAAAAAATAGTTTTAAAATTAAAAAAATTTACTATTGTGACACGTGGCACAATCTGGAGTGTTGGAATTCAAATTTTTTAAAATCCAACGACAGAGATTAATTATTTGCATAAAAATTGTAAAAAAAATTGTAAAAAATCCAAAAAAATCTGAAAAAAAATTGTAAAAAATTGTTTTTACTTTTCTATAAATACCACTTCTTCTCCATCTACCTTACACCACAATTTCATATTTTCTCAACGACTTTCAATCAAATTCCTATATTTCTCTCAAAGTTTCAATCCAATTTTTTTCCACAAAATGACTACTGATGCATGTACGAATTGGTCTCTTCTTGAAGATGTTGCGTTGTGCACTAGCTGGGTTGAAGTTACTCATAATTCCCTTACGGGTAATGAGATGCAGTTGTGAGAAATGTGGAGTTTAATTCATACCAAATTTCTTGAGCAAATGGGTGGGAAAAGAACCAAAGAATCGATGTTCAGTCGTTGGAAAATACTTAGTCATTCCTTTAGTACGTGGAGAGATGCCTTAACACAAGCTAGTAGTAATGTTCGAAGTGGGGCAAATTATGCGGATGAGGTAAGAAAATATTATAATTATTTGTTTGTGTTATTATTTTGTTACCTAATTTGATTATAATTATTTGTTTGTATTATTTATTTGTTACCTAATTTCATTATTATTATTTGTTTGTATTATTTATTTGTGACCTAATTTCATTATTATTATTATTTGTTTGTATTATTTATTTGTTACCTAATAATTTCATTATTATTATTTGTTTGTATTATTTATTTGTGACCTAATTTCATTATTATTATTCGTTTGTATTATTTATTTGTTCCCTAATAATTTCATTATTATTCATTTGTAGCAACTTCAAGCATAAGCATGGTATGCTGTCAAAATCAAATCAAGAAACAAATCATTCAACCGGTGGGAATGTTGGAATATTGTTAAAGATTGTCCTAAATTCAAAGTTGTGCCTGTTGGTCCAGAAGTATACATGAACAGCACCCCTCTACATAGCACTCCTCCACACTCTACACCCGATCATGGCTCCCATGTTGATGAAGAAGATGGAGAAGAAGTGCTTGAAACACCCATTCCTGAACAAGCGTCGGGGTCAACCCGTTATCCAATTAGGCCTCAAGGTAAGAAGGCTTCAAAGAGGAAAAGGAGTGCTTCCAAGAATGATTATGAAAAGTACATGCAAGAACTTGCTCGTCAAGGTGAATTGACGTTGGCGCAGGAATTGGCGAAATATGAGGCTGAAAAGGCTAGAGATGAGGCAAAAATTGCAGCTATTCAACAAGCATTTCAAGCTGAACAGAGGGAAAGAGAGCTACTTAGGCAAGAAAGGGAGTTGCTTAGAGAAGAAAGAATTGCACAACGAGATCGTGACATTATGAACACGCGTTTAGAAGGGATGTCTCCAAATTCTAAATATTTTTGGCAGTCGGAGAAAGCGGATATGGTGCAAATGAGGCGTGCAAGAGAAGCGAGATCAAGACAAGATGGTCCTAGCACAACAAGACAAGATGATCCTAGCACCACATATTGGTTAAGTGATGATGAATAGGGTACTTTTTGTAATCGAAGCCCATAGTTTTCCAATCACTTTGGGTTGTAATTTATTATTTATGTTGTTTCCAATTTATTGAAGTTAGTACTTTATTTAAAGTGAGAGTACATTTATTTAATTTCGTAATATATTTATCCTAATAATAGAATCTTTAGTCATCAAATTGTTCACGTATAATGAAATTATAAAACACACCAAATAAAACTAAAAAACTCACCAAATGGAATTACATAAACACACCAAATAAAATTACATAAACATATCAAATAATAAAAAACTCACTACAAAATTACATAAACGAGCTTGAAGGATACCAAAACAACGCTCCACATCCTTCCTGCACCCCTCTTGACAGCTTGCAAAGTGTTTTTCCTTTGCACTTCGCGGACGTGACACTGTTTTGACAAATGTTTCCCACCGTGGGTAAATGCCGTCAACTAGGTAGTATGGCCTGTCGTACCTACATCCGTTGACGACGTACGTGACTTTTGGTGCCTTTCTTTGCAGGACGTCGTTGAACACTGGGGATTGGGCAAGGACGTTGAGATCATTTTGAGCCCCCGGAACCCCGAAAAAGGCGTGCCATATCCATGTATCAAAAGATGCCACTGCCTCCAAAATGATAGATTTTGCTCTTTTTCTGTCCCCATATGCGCCTTGCAATGCACTTGGATAGTTTTTCCACGTCCAGTGCAAAAAGTCGATGCTTCCTATCATCCCAGGAAAACCTCGCATCTTGGCCTTCCTCAGAAGCCTTTGCAAGTCTATGTGAGTAGGTTTTCGGAGGTACTCTGCGGTGTACAAAGATTCGACTGCTCCGCAAAACCTCATCAGGGCCTCAAGAATGGTTGATTTCCCCATCCTTGTTATCTCATCCACTTGGTCTGCAGATGCTCCATACGCAAGCATCTGCAACGCAACAGTGATTTTTTGCTCAGGCAGGAGACCCATAACACCACAAGCATCATTCTTTTGCACAAAGTAAGAATCATGGTTGCAAACATCAGTCATGATTCTGTTGAACAAATGTCGTTCCATTCTAAAACGGCGTCTAAAGTACGTATCAGGAAATGCACTGTTATGGACAAAGTAATCGTTGTTGCCTGCTTCTATCAAGGTTTCTTGAACGGCTAGGCCTGCATATCTGAGCAACATTCTGGATGACTCGACGGGAATGTGAGGCTCTGGCCATTCTTGTTTCGTCATCTCTCCTTGTACGCTCCTCATCCTCTTCCATCTCATTTTCGGCTATCTGAAGGTTGAACATTCATTCAGATTGGTTAAACAATTCTTCCTTTTGCTGATCGATTTCTCACATCATCCTTGATGAATAAGAAGACATTGTAAGGATGAATGGTGAAGAAGAAGCAAAAACTATGAATAATGAGATAGAGATGTTGAGAAAATTGGTGTGAGATTTGTGAGGATGGATGGTGGATTATATGGACGATTCAGAAAGGATTGGATTGTAGATAAGGCCACGTGGCATGCCGTCATTAGTTAAAAATCTGATCGAAATCTATCCTCAAAGATTCTGAAAAGATAATGACACGTGGTACGATTGTATTGGATAAAAATCTTATCGAAATTTATCTCCAATAATTATCTTTTTAGATAATGACACGTGGCGCAATTTTGAACGAGTTAAAATCTGATCAAAATCTATCATCAAAGATTCTCAAAAGATAACGACACGTGGCATGATGACATTGGATAAAAATCTTATCGAAATCCATCACTAAATAATTGTTTTTTTTATAAAATGACACGTGGCGCAACGAGAACGATTTAAAAAATCTTATTTGAAATTTCAAATAATTTTATTTTGTATTATTTAAACAAACAAAAAAAACTAATATTTTATTGCCTATTGCCAGGGGGAGGGCTCCAAGGGTGGAGATGCAAATGACAATTACTGTTCATTAATGGTAGTTACTATTCATTAAAGGCAGTTACTGTTCAATAGGGTGAATTCAATAGTGGATTGCCAAGGGGAAGGGCTCCATGGGTGGAGTTGATCTTAAGGGAAGTTACTATTCATTAAAAGCAGTTACTGTTCAATATGATGAATTCAATAGTGGATTGTCAGGAGGAGGGCTCCGTAGGTGGAGTTGCTCTAAAGGTGAAAGAAACTTGTCTCTTTCATTGTGACACTTTGGACTGACTCTTGCTTTTTATGGATAAAAACATACATGACTAATATGTGCTTCTATTTTCGCAAAGCAAACTGTTGGGTCCTCCTTTCTCTCTCTCTCTCTCTGCCATAACCCATCTTTATTAATGATCTTTTTTCACTTTTTTGATGTTGTGGTTTGAAATGATCAAAAATTCAAATATTCTGTTCTGTAGTTAGTTCTTGACCCGGAAAATCTTACATATAAAACATGTTGGAATTAAAAATTAAGTGCTTCTTCAAAGAGTAATTTCATGATCTAAAAATACGGTTTTTGTTCGAACTAACTGTCTTAACTCGCATTTATCTCCAAACTACATAATAAAATCAAAATCATAGTTACGCTTTATTG